TGCTGCTGTTTATAGTCTTCATTCCCAATGGCACACTGAATTTTTCACCTGACAGTAGTTTCAGAATATCAGTTTGATCTTGAGTGAGCTTGAGGTTTATCTTCATTGCTGTGATGCCATGTGCTGAGGTATGATATAAATGAGTCCTTACGTTCAGATGTTCTGAGACTGACAGTTGTTTTTGGAACATCAGATTATCCAGGGTAGACCACAGTTCAGGATTAGCAAGATTGCTCCTAATGAAGTTGCTAATTAAGATCCTTTTATTTTCTGTGTCTGACATTATCCATCTTGTGATTCTGCTGAACACTTTTTCTTCCTTCCTATTCAAAAATTTCTCAGCCTCTGATGAAGGTTTTGGTTATGTTGCTATGGTACAGGATGGTGCAGTATATAGAATCTTGAATCTCCAATGTATGAGAGTTCTTGAGATGTGTTCTTCGCCAAATCATTTTTAAACAACAGTGCTAGGAATAGTGCTAGCAGGAACAACTTAAGTAAGTATGTGAAATTATAATGGTTGCTGAATAGGATATGGAGGCTTCATTTTAGGGGTGGTGTTTCTGTTGCCCAGGCTTGTGTGATTTAGTATGTGGAGATGTCGAATTTTTTAAATTAACATGAGCTTGAGATCTTGCATTGTTATCAAGTTGGAAACACTTGATATTTTTCTTTTCACTAGATGACCCTGTCCCTGCTTGGGAAAGTATTCAGTATTCTCTCTAAAGCTTGATAGCGAGTCCACTGAACCTTGATTACTCCTTTCCATTTATGCTGCGATCAAGTTCAAATTGCTCTCATTCTTAAAAATATCCATGGACTTCCTTAGCCCACCTCATACTTTTTCATTTTGCACTGCGCAGCTTGTTGCTTTCTGTTTATTCTGATGTCTGTGGCTTTTTTTTTTTTTTTTTGCATATTTGCAAAAGAAAAACAACAAAAAATCACTAAACGGAAACCTGTGTTAACAGGTAGTTAACGTTACAAAACTAGTCAGTAGAACTATGCTAAATTCAAATGATCTTTGTTGCATCTTCTGTGCCTTTGCGTTCTACAGACAGAACCATAGTGTTAGAAATGTACTAATTCGCTTAATACAGTGGTGTGTTTTCAGCAGGCTTTCTGAGAAAGGGCCATATGCCTTTTGTCTGGTTTGTCTGTTGACAAAATATAATTTCCTGAGAAACAGTATCAACTAGCTGCAGCGTCCATTTATAGTCTCCACCATGGGTTTTGCAACTGCCTTAGGTAATTTGACTACCCATAAGCAAGCAGGATTTCTAATCCTTCTGGGCAATGGAGGAGGACATCCAGTCTCAAATGAATGCCATCATCTTGAATACCCTGCCTTATACCACGTATGTCTGACCAGCCTTGCTGTAAATTGTTGCCATGGTCATTATATGGATTTTTTTTAGAAAAAAGACAAGTTCCATGAGGTGAGAGAAGAGAATTAATATTCTGGAGCAGGAGTATAGGTCTGTCCTGTTAATAAGAAGCTACTGCATTCTCTCAAATCTAAGGCATTTCCTAATCGCCAGTTGCATGCTGCTGTGATAGGAGGAGTGCCTCAACGAACATCCCTATAACGGGCATCAGGAGTTCATAACCCTAGAACCTATTTTGTTCCATTGCCACAAGTTGCACTGAAGACATATGGAAGAATCAGCCATAGTCTGCATAGTGTTTTTAATATAGTATTATAATTTGTGTGTGTATATTTGATGAAGAAGAAGGGGAATCTTGTCAGCTATTAGTTCTGGGCTGAATATCGCTTGACAGTAATGGCCCAAATGTCGTTTTTTCTTGGGAGAAAACCCAGCAGGGTGTGGAATAAAACTCTTTCCAGGTTGCTGCTTTTGGCTAGAACACACCAGTATTTTCCAGCTTTTCATGAACTGGAATGCTCAGTTGTTGTCTAAATTATTTAGCACAGACTACTTACTGATCTCTCTGTTAATAGCAGACGTAGGGACTAGTTAACAGGCCACAGTAGCAGAATGAGGGGGCTAAATCAGACATGAGCTATCAGCTACAGAAGTACAGTCCAGATTTATCAGGGTGACCTTGAATCACTGCAAATGGAACCTCTTAGGATACTGCAGCTCTGCTGTCAGGTAATACCCGTTTACCCTATAAATATCTTGAGAGAATTAATGTTTCAGGTCCATGTGCTGGGGCAGGTCGAAACTCCCCCCCCCTCAAAATTCAAGGAGTTAATTAGTGTTTCATTAGATATTGTGCACCCAGCAGGATGTTGTGTAGCAGGAATAAAGATTAAATGAATTGAAAGAAAGCCAGTGGGGAAAATGTCAATGTAAAAATGATTGTAGTACAGTTTTATCTTTATATATGCCATATTTGAAGCACATGGGCACTCAATATGCCTGTTAACTCTTGCTATTTTAATTTGTTTCAGATACTGCTGTTAGAAGTGAGGGGAGAGAGAGACAGCATAGCTAAACAAAGACAATGCTGGGGGCCCAGTGCTTGTCCAGTTCTCAACATATAGCAAAAAGGGGGGGAAAAAATTCAGATGGTCTTCTCGCATGAAGAAAGGATCTAATCTGGTGTGAGCCAGAGAGGATAGCAAGAGGAAGTTGGAAAGACTACAGTCTTTTCAGGTTACTGAAGTACAGAGGGATGATGGTGCACATCTAAAAGGCATTAAAAGATCTGAGAAGAGCCAGCAGACATGCCAGCAGTATAGTCTTTGGGCATCTATCCTCTGAAAAATATTCTTAAGCTTTGTATTTAGTCCACTAACCATTAACGTTTCCTTTCTCCTCTGGTGTCTGAGGTGTTGTATTAGATGCTGCAAAACAAAAGCACTGTTGTCTTGTGTTAAAACTGGCATAGCTTATAATGGCATACTGTTGTTGTTAAGACTAAAGTATGTTATGTTTTTTTCTTTTAATTAATGGGCATTTTGAGTCAACATTCACAAGTTGTTTTCTCTACTGCATTGATCAAAATAAAGTGATTTACAAAGTCCTTATTGTCCCTTGTGTGTGTTTTGCTGCTGTCTTTATTAAGATACTGTTCACAACTGCCAGTCAGAATCTGGGTTCCATTATGCTGGGCACTATGCAAACCATATGCTCCTTCAAAATTTTGATGTAAAATGGCAGTTCCAGTTTGGTGGGATATGCTTCACTAGTAATTGACATCATCTTCATGTGTGGTGCTGAGCAGGAAAAAAACTTAGGCTGTTCCTTTACTGGCTTCAGTGAGGAGCTGTTTGAGAAACAGTAATTGGGTCATGCCTGTTAGCCTGCACTTCTTGCAGTCACTGGACAAGGAAATAGTAGGAGAGTTAGTGGAAAGGAGTATATAGCAAAGATAGAAGTTGGGAGATAGTGTAGAGGCAGCAATGTGAGGTGGCAAGGGGAAAAGCCCAAAGTGGCAAGAAGATGTCAACAGCACAGCTCAGGTCCAGGAGTCTCTGGTCTGAATTTAATGTGCTCTTTAGGTACTCGCTGTTAGTACCAAGTCTGTGGCTGGTATTTTTTTTTTTTAGCTGTTCAGTTGGAAATCTGTATCTTCTTTGGTTACAAAATGTTCAGAGTATGGCAGATTGAAATGATAATATACTTTGTATAGCTTTCTGTTCTATATGCTTTTATGTTCTTTAAGCTGTAAGAAGCTCATTCTGTCTCAGTTCTATACCTGCTAAGGCAGCAGTTGAAGAAATGCCGGTTTTATCAGAATAAGATTTATATAAGTAGGCTTTACTGATTTACGGCAGAGTTTAAAACTCCCTATAAAGTAAAATGCTCTTTTAAATGTATGGTAGCCACTTTAAAATATCCTAATACCTAAAGTTTGTGCATCTTGGTCAGACTGACTTGTGTGGATATCAGAGTATATATCTCTGGACTCCTCCTTTTGTTGAACTGAACGTTTGTCTGCTTCCACAATAAGACCCAGTTTGCCACTGATCAGAGTGCAACCAGAGTGGTTCCTTTTGATGGCAGTGCTGGCTCAAGTAGACCCAGTGCCCTGCTTCTACAGCACCTCCTTGGCTGTGCTGGTAAAACTGCATGATTACATACAGAACTAGATTAGGAAACTGATTTGGACTTTTTTTTCTGGCCAGTTTACTGCCTAAATTATGGAATTATTTTCTCACTTGAGTTTTCTACTGGGATCTTGTTCCAGGCAATTTTTAAGATTCAGTAACTATGGTGAGTGTAAAGACTGCCATTTTTCTATAATGCATGACCTGTAGCATAGTAAATGGAGAAAATTTTATCAGTCTTTTGGGGCTGGGGGGGGGTATTAAAATGTTCCTTTAAAAACTCATCTTTCACTACCTTATTAGACAGCTCCCCAAAGAGTGAAAATTGTATATAGGGATTCTGAGCTATCTACAATGAAGAACATTTGAAGCTATTACGTTGTGTGAACATGCTGAGTCACTTTAGAAAGAAATGATTCTAAAATACTGAGGTTCAGGTCTCCTGTTGTCATATGGGCCTTCTGACTAATTTTCCAATCTAATCTGAAAACCCGTATTCCTTCCTTGTTTGTACCACAATATTTCTCTGCCCCTCATTTCTCTTGTACCTAGAATAAACGACGCTGCTTCCTCAGTGTTTTCTTAATGGCTTCCTCTGTAATGCTACTTATCCACAGTCACTTTCCCTATCTTCCAGGATGAGTCTGTGGGAAAAACAGGCTATTCTGCAGTGCCTAGTTAATAATAAGCTCGATGCAGTATTATGTCACAGCTCAGTAAGTTATCACAAGAAAGATACTGATCTCCAAGGCTACTCGAATGTCTGTGATCTAGCTTTTACAGGGAAACGGAGCACTCCATACTGAGTTACATATGAATATTGCCTTTAACGTTTGTTTCCTCGGACCATGTCATGAGGCAAAAAAAAAAAAAAAAAAAAATTATACTGAATTTCCTTTCATGAGATCTTTGTAAGAATCTTAAACTTTGAGTTTTTCCTATGCTGCAGCTTGTACAGTGACCTACTTGTATCTTACAGATAAAGAGAAGGAAAAGATAAAACTTGAGGAAGATGAAGCAGCAGCTGCTAGCACTATGGCAGTCTCAGCTTCCCTTATGCCACCCATTTGGGACAAAACTATTCCCTATGACGGAGAGTCTTTCCACCTGGAGTACATGGATCTCGATGAGTTCCTTCTGGAGAATGGAATTCCTTCCAGCCCTACGCACCTGGATTTGAACCAGAATCCACTCTTGCCTGTGGCTGAGCTGGAAGGAAAGGAGTCTGCCAGTGCTTCCACTGGTTCACCTGCATCATCTTCATCATCATCTGCAGTTTACCAGCAATCTGAAGCAGCCTCCAGCACAGGTAGATGGAGTAATTTGGGGCTTTGTGAGGGATTTTTGTTGTTCTCGTATCAAAAGGCCCTCCCCTCAGACTGAAGAGGGGACATGTTAACGTATCAGTGTTAGCTGTTGCAGGTTAAGCAGCACAAGCGTACTCAGGTTAGAGCCTTAGTCCATATGTCAATTCATGAAGATGCTGCTGCTCCTCCTCCTCTTAGTCTCTCCCCCTCCCACAAAAATGAGTTAGTGTCCCTGAGTGTGTGGTTTGTTTCACCTTTGAAAGCAGAAAAGCTGAAACACCAACAAAAAGTGGCAATAGCAAGACAGCAGGTAATCTAGTGAGAAGCTGGACACGTGGAGAACATAGTTTTTCAGATGACAGGTTATTTTACAACGGATTTTATAGTTTGTGATAAGTTATTCGGTCTACCTTGGTGGTTCGGTCTGCTTGGGTGAACTTATGCCCACTTAATGTACCTCAAATAACAGTGCTTAATAGAAAAATAATGAAGCAATGTTTCCTTGCTAGCTTGTGAAATGTGAGAACTGTCTTTTGGAAGACGTTTGTTTACAATGCATTTGGATGTTCTGTGGTGCTTTGAAGTGGGAATAGAGGAACAGAGAAAAACAAAACCTTGTCGTTAAATGATACTAGGAAACTGCTGCTCTTCACGAGAAGAATGGAGATCTCTATAGAAGAATTCATCAGCTCAGTTTGCTCGAGAGTTGGATCCTAACCACAATAACCGCTAAATTTACACAGTGCTATTTTATGAGCAGGATTTATGGAAAGCCTTTTTCTTGGTGACTCTTCCTCCATGATTCTGAGAGAGAAACGCAAATGTGGAACAACTTGAGTAGGACATAAGGTCTGGGTTTTTTCCCCAAAGTTTTTTGTTTGTTTTGTTTTGGATTTTTTTTTGTTTTTGCCAGTGGTGTTATGAAAAAATTTGTTCGTTGGTCTCTACTTCAGATTGCACTGACATTTGCAGTCCCTGTGTATCAAGTCTGTAATCAAGCCATATAAATATGACCACAGTATAGTTCTTGTCTCCAGTATCCTGAAAGTTCTCGTGAATGCCATCTATCAGTGTCAGGCCATCTGTTGAGACGTTTCTGTCTCCGCATAGCAATGAAGAGAGTACTATTGCGTTTGCAGAAGACCTATGTTCTTTTCAGTTCTTTGTTGGAAATATTATCTTTTCTGATCTTCGAAGGACTAAGGGAATGGAGTCTCTGGGCAGGCTTGCTTCTGTAGGGCTTTCTAAGCCACAAAGCTTAGACTGGTGCAAGTTTCTTGTTTCGTGCTGTGTGGCAATGGCTTCTAATGTGTGCTTGAGTGCATAAAGCATGAAGTTCTTGCTGAAGAAGTCTTAACTCTGTGCCACATCCATCTACTCATGTCTGTTAGTTTGGCATATGTTCTTAGAGCTTGTATTATTATAAACAACCAACTGGACTGAGTAGCTTCTCTCTGTAATAGAAGTTGTGCAGTGTTCTATCCAGTAGCTAGCACACCTTAGGGAAATAATAATATTAAATATTGCCCACTGTAGGACAATAAATAAAGGTACCCAAGTTGGCTTCTGAAATAATTATTTGTCCTGCTCAATGTATTATAACTTTTCCTGTTTTTGCTAGAGTCCCCTCCACAAAATGAGAGAAATACTCCCAGCCCCATTGATCCTGACTGCGTAGAAGTTGAGGTGAATTTTAACCCTGACCCTGCTGATTTAGTGCTGTCCAGTGTGCCTGGTGGTGAGCTCTTCAATCCTCGCAAGCACAAGTTTACTGAAGAGGACCTGAAACCACAACCTATGATTAAAAAGGCCAAGAAGGTTTTTGTCCCAGATGAGCAAAAGGTAACAGATTTATTACTGCAGATTTCTCTAGGTCTTCATCAGAACTTGTTGACTCTTTGCCCAAATATTTTTACATACAAAGCTAATGTGCCATACCTACGTGATTGGGCAGAAGCACTGCCAAGAACAGAACTAGCAAGTCGCTTGCTGTTCTTGCTGTTTTGTTGGGCCGGTATCATGAGCTAATTACTGGGCAGGAGCAACTTAAAATGGTATACGTGGAAATTAGAAGAACTATCAAGTCACATCCTCATTCACTGCGTTTTTGAATGCCACTGTATGCATTTGCCCAGCGTTCTGTCTGATCCAGTTTTAAGCAGCCCAGACAACAGAACGTATTGCTTTCCATGGAAGTTCATTACTGAATTGAAACTAAGTAAAGGGAGCATTTCAGTTGGACAGCTTCTTAGTAGCCAAGTCTTTTAATCTCCCTAGTTTTAGCTGTTTCCCTTGGTTCATCCTGAAAGGAGCATCACATAAGGATGAAATCTTACAGTACTGTGTAACCTACGTTCTAGTATCTGAGCCCTGAAACCCGAAGAAAGTTCTTCTTCAGTCTTGCAGTTAGTGTGACTGTCATACAATAAAAGGTTTCTATTTGATGTAAAATACCAGGTTGACAGATTGGCACCTCTTTCTCCCTCTCTCTCTCTCTCTCTCTCTCTCTCTCTTTTTTTTTCCCCCCCCTCTCTCTCCCCCCTACAGGATGAAAAATATTGGACAAGGCGAAAGAAGAACAATGTGGCAGCAAAGCGTTCCCGTGATGCTCGGCGATTAAAGGAGAATCAAATCACAATTCGGGCAGCCTTCCTCGAGAAAGAGAATACAGCCCTGAGGACGGAGGTTGCAGAGCTGCGCAAGGAAGTGGGGCGATGCAAGAACATTGTTTCTAAATACGAGACCAGATACGGACCCTTGTAAGCACACCCCTTTTCCTTGTTAGGGCTCCTTGTTTTAGCCTCTTAGACTTCTCTGCCTTCTGTAGAGACTCCTAGAAATAAAGTTTGTGGAGGCTTTGCCATTTTGCATCTGTACAAAAAAAAAAAAGAAAAGAAAAGAAAAAAGAGAAAAAAAGAAAAAAATTGTTTATGTTGGCATAACTTGTTCAGGCCCTTTCCTGATCTTGTGTTGCCAAAATTTTAAAAAGTGTCATACTTACAACTTTGTTTTTAACACTGATAGAGCACTTTATGATGTTATGCAAGAGAACAGATTGACCTGTCTGGAGGAATAGAAGTGGATCTCTCCTGACCGGACAGGATTCTTGCTTTCTGTTCTAATCTCTATTTTAAGTGGAGAAAGAGCCTAGGACTCTGGTCCTTGTGGATGGGGTTTTTTGTTTGTTTGTTTTGATTGATTTTTTTTTTCTTCCTGCCCCCTCTCCCCTGCCCCAATTGAACTGTCAAACGTAATTTTAAGATACAAGTAGATGTTGCTGCGCAGCATCATGAAATGATTTCCTCTCCCACTTAGGGGTACTAGGAAGCACCTGTGTGCTTTCTCCTTTCCCAGAGAAGGGCTCTCTGCTCCTGTTCAAGAGGAATAGGGGAACCTTTAAGACAGAAAATACTCAGTCTCCTGTAGAAATGGAGATATCTTTAGGTTAATGAACATATGTTTATGCAGACCACAGTCAATGCATTGTTGATAATAAAATACTGCTTAAACATCTCGGTAGGTTCTAATTCTGGATAGCTTCCAGAAACACAGGATTGAGAACAATAGGGATCTCCCACTTTACAGACAGGGACAAAATAATTTGGGTTTTAGGTTGTCTTCTCCCTCTCTCCCCTCTCCCTTCCCCTTCCCACCCCCCCCCCCCCCCGGCCCCCCCAGGGACTTCCCTGTTCTTGAACTGCTGGTCATGCAGCATGTGACACCTAACTAGGAAGTAAAGGAGGAGACTGTGCCATTTAAAAAAAAAAAAAAAAAGAAAGAAAAGAAAAAAAAGAAGAGGTCTGGCTCACTAGACAGGACCTTGCAGCCCATCTGTCTGGGTATTGCCAGTATATTAAGGTTTAGAAGGAGGTTTTCGGTTTTAAAGTAACAGACAAAGCAGCTATCGTGGCTTTACTGCACCTTACCTGTTGAACAAGAGCTTGCGAAGGACTTGTGGTCCTTTGCCTTGTGAATACGCCAAGGAAAAAGCCACGCCCACTCTAAACATGAACTGTTTACTCCGTTATCTCCCGCGTAGCCACATATCTGGTCTCTCCATGCCTGCTGGTTCTCTCTCCAGCAAGTTTCCTGCTACAAAGTTAGCATGCAAGACTTGCCCTCTTGGAACTAATCCATTCTCAGCACCAAACACTGCTTCAACAGTATGTGGCGTTAAAAGAAAAACGTTCCATGTGATGTTGGAACCTTCTCCATGGCCTCCATCTGCAAGAACCAGAAACTTTAACAGAAGTATTTGTCTAGAATTCATCTTAACAGGGCAAGCTATCTTAAGATAGTGGCTATGTTAGAACCCCTAGGCTATGCTTCCTGGGCTTGTATTTATATTAGGGAGTGAACGTGGGACAACTGATGTTTAGGCTAGTTTCCAACTCCTGTATTGAAATCAGAAAAAAAAACCCAGCACTTTTTATATACTTTTCGATGCTAAAGACTTCTTGCCTAGCTTGTCTTTTAAACGCAACATGGAAATTGGAGACCAATTGTATGTTGACTTCTTAAGCAAGTGGAGAAAAAGGCTTATTCAGAATGTTTAAAGTAAATGTATACTTTGAACGATTTTTCCCCTCTCTGTTATGTTCCAGTTTGACCAGAGTAGCTCTTCATGTAGTGTTGGTCTAATTTCTTTCAAACATACGAAAGATTGTCACCCTTTCAGCAGGGGTTTTTCTCTCACAGGGTGGTGTGTGGTGGTAATGGTGGGAAGTATGTTATAAATAAATTGTCACACTTAACACTTTGCTTTGTTTAAAGTGACTTATCTGATTCCGAGTGATGCAACTTTAAAGACTTTTAAAAACAAAGAAACTAAAAAGCACACATGAATCGCCAGTCTTCAGAATGAGCGTGAAATCTATGAGGTGTCCCAACACAAACAACTGACGATGACCCTGCCTGCCTGCTTGCCTGCAAGTACCCCATCTGAACTACCCAGGGCTGGGCATGATGAAAAGTGCAAAGTCTCCTTAATTCTGTATATGGCTTTCTTATCTGTCTTTTTCACTGTAGCTATGAACTACAATAAGCTTGCTTACTGGGGTTTTGTCAAGACACTCAAAGTTCATTTCTCCAAGTCTGTTGACAACCTGTGTGAATAGTGACTCTTTGTTTTGGCACTTGCGTGAAAGAAAATAGGGAGTTTTAAATGCAAGTGGCTCTATATATTAAGAACAGCTATATTTTAAAAAGTGTTGTGTTTTTGTTTGTTTTTTTTTTTTTGTCTGCAGTAAATACTGCAGCTCACTTCTGGTACAGTGTATCATCTTGTATTGTTGGTGCAGAACTGAAGACACCAGAAAGCAGTGATCTATAATGTATAAGACTTTCAGTGCAGGAAAGTACAGCAGATGTATTGAAACAGACTAGAAAGCACCACGGTACGCCATACAAAGAGGCGTAATAAACTCCTGTCAAATGACCCATATAAGAGTAAAATACTTCATTTGCTTTCCTACCCCATAGTTACACAGCTGTAACCTACCTTTTCCTTTTTAACTCTCTTATGAGGCTCGCTTTCTTCTATGGTATCTGACTGAAACAAGATCTCTTCTCCTATTACTATTCAGCAATCATGAAAAGGGTGTGGGTCTAAGCTGCTGATCCCCATATCTTTCGGCAGTCCCATATTACCCAATGAATACTAGTTCTGCCAAAACAATGACTTAGCTACCACATTACAATTTTCTGTCTCCTCTTGACCACAAGAGAACTGCAGTGGGGAATGAATACTTTGTTCATCTGCTTTATAAATCTGAAACAGCTAATGATTTTTGGAGTCACTATGGACTGCTTCAACTATCAAGACCCTTGTGCTGGTGTGGGGGAGTAGATGAAAGGTTGGACAGATTGTGTGGATGCTTGTTGTGTGTAGAATATGGAGGAAGTAGGTGGAAGTTCCTTTGCAAGAGTCTAATCAGTATAACAAGAATCTAATTCTATATTGAAGCTTAAGACCTAAATTCATGTGGGAAGAAAAAGAGTATTTGATTTCTCAGAAAGTAGCATAGGGCTGTAGTCCTTAATTCATAGTCAAGATAGAGCTTGTCAGACAGGAGTGAAAGATGATCAGTGTATTTTTGCCTGGAGATTAACAAACAGCATACACTTTCAGAAAAATATTCTTGAAAGCTTTCAGAAGCACAAGTGCCTAAATATGAGGCACAGTTAGTTACCAACAAAGTTTGACATGCTATCATATTGAACAAATATTTTAACTTTGCATTTACCAGAGAGATTCTGCCCTTAACTTCATAGTAGAAAGGCAAAGAGAAAAAAGAACAAGCAGATAACGCTGTGAACTTCAAAGAAACAACAACAACAACTCTGGAAGACATAACCAATTTTTTGAAAGCATAACTTTTGTAATGGGCATATACATGAAATGCACTTCTTGACCTTTTTATTTTTTTTTTTTTGTTTGTTTGAATGGACCATGTTCTGAAGTCAAGAAAGTGCTTTTAACTTTTTTTGCTGGTTACAAGCGTATATTAATGAGTATACTTTTATAATTTGGGACTCTAAAGTTCTGAGATAATCTGTAGGTATCCTATTCAAATAAATGAATAATTCAGCTCCACATTGCTGAAATGTCAGCATATATCACTACCTATATCAAATATTGCAGATGTGGACTGCTATTTTTGGTAGGTACTGTTTTTTGTGGCTTTATTTTGGTGATAAAGGCCTTGCTGTGGATTTTTTAAAAAGATACCGAGAGCATGTAAATTTAGCAATTTATCATTTCTGATGTTTCAGTTAGCTTGGAATGGCTGTTCTTGAAAGTCATGTTTCCTGTTCAAATTGCAAACTTAAAAGGTATTGTAACGGGACAAGGAGTCACTAGTCCTTCATGCGGGTCTTGCCGTCTTACTGCTTTAGGAATATCATTTAACTACTCGTGTTGTATACAGGATTTGTTTTTTGCAGTGTGTCATGCTATATCAATAGCAAAACATTTAGTTGGTAAGAATAGTATGTGCAATTCTATTCGCTTTTTGTATTACATCAGAACTTTATACAATGGGAACTAAGAGGGAATGTTTTAGATTTTTCTTTCAGAGAGGACTGTTAGCAAACTCCTGTGCTTCCCTGTAGAACAGTGCAAAGTTGCACATTTTGCGATTCATGTATCTACAGGTTGCAAAACTGGAAAATCACACTGTAGGGTGAGAGTGTAGTTGGAGGAATTTTTTGCTAAGAAACAACATCTTCAAAGATAGCTGAGATGGTAGTAACTTTTTAAAGGAATATAACTTTTGTTGGGCAATACCTATATGTGCAATGCTGAATTCCTCTTTCAGTATTTGCAGTCTCAGGAAGCTAGGCTAACTGCTTCAGAGCTTTCCACTCTTTTCAGAATGATTAACTATATAATCTCGTTTCTTTGACTAAGATGACTATCCTGTCTGTGTAAGTTCTAACTTTAATACGTTTTCCATAGGGGTCATAAGAAGACCAATGTTCTTTTAACTGAATTTGAATGTTAAAAGCTGCTGAATTGACACTGTTAGCATCTGAAGCTCTCTAACCATGGAACAAGCTCTGTATAGGCCATAACTGTGCCTAATACCAATGTACCCCATTCCAGCTGTAAAGGGACCATCCCTAAGGGGAGGGAATAAAGGGAGTTCACCTTTCAGCATTACTGCAGGAATTGCCAGTAAAGGGAGCAGTGTTTGACACAGCTGTGTATTCATTAAGAAATGGATTGAAGCCAGTGGTCATTCCACATAGGCTGTCAAACAGCCATTGCACAGTACTCGCTTTCAAAATATATGAGCTGTTGATAATGTTTGTGGGGAGTGCATTGTCTTATTCTACATCAGAAATAGTCAATGAATAAATGATGCACAAAATTTAAGTAGCATTGTTTTCATACATGGTCTTCTAATCTAAACAGAGTTACATGTCCTTATAATAATGCATTTTTGTATTTAAAGATTCCCTAGAAGTTCAATTTGTCATCTGTTGCCAAGTTCGACTCCCACCAAAGCCAATAACAAAGATCTCATTCACTCCCACAGGAAAAGGTCTTTATTCTCTGACATGGTGTTCTTAAGATTTAGGAAGCTCTGGAGTCATGGGTGTCTTTGCTTTACTCTGGAGCGCTCTGCGTTGGGACCAGGTGGATGCATCTCAGATCGCAGATGTAATGTTTGTGAACTGACCCCTTCCCATCTTTTATTCATTTACACAAGCTATATACATTTTTGATATTTGGAATCTGGTGAATTCAGCTGTTTTTTTTTTTCCTTCTGTTTGTTTTTTCTTGCTGCTTGGTATGTGTGAAAAAAGCGTACAATAAACTTGTGTAGGGAGACGGAATGTTAAAAAAGGAACCTTAAGTTCCTAAAGGAAACTTTCTGCAGTTTTTTAGTAACGTTTTGTGTGTTGGCAATTCTCCGTTTCTCTGCTGTGGTGTTTGAAAGCCCAGGAAGTTCTAGCTGTAGAGATGATTTTCAGCATTACCTGTAGGATTGCTACAGACTGTACCAAATTCACTTCAAGTTGGGGGGAGGTGTAGTGCAAAGCCAGCAGTTGCAGCTTTGGGAATGTTGTAGTATAACTACTTGTTATGGAAGAATATTTTGTGTAGACAGCAGAAAAAATGGACTTACACAGAAGAGAACATTGCTGCTTCAGCCTTGTAAACCTTTTCAGCCTCACAGGGTTTTGTTGCTTGCGATCAGATGCCTTCATTTTTGGTGACAGTGGAGGTATCTCAGACCTTTGTGAACTCCAGATAGGCTTGTGTTTGTCCTTAGTGTTATACCTTTGCAGCACTACAAGACACCAGCTAGCTTTCTAGTCTGTGGGTTGGTTGGTTTGTTTAATATAATAATTCCTCTGATCTGTATTATCTACCAGTATAACATGATAAAGATAAACCCTCCGTGAAAGGTTGGAGGAAGAGTAGAAAAAAATAAGTCTAGCTAAACTCTTGTGGAGATGTTAGCATTATATTAACTGAGAAATTATAATGATTTAATTTTTGGTAATGCAGACTTGTGATTTAAAAAATGTAACTTGTTAGTTTGGTAGTATGCTAATCTTTGCAGTGGATCATTATTGGAATGCAAACCTAATGTTGAAGCAGCTACAGGGGGAAGGGAAGCCTTTGAAGGAAGTACAGATAGGTAAAAATACAGATACTTGGCAAGGATGATGAAGAATGAAAGCAGAAATATAAAGAGTAAAGCAAGGTACTGACCTGAACCAGACTGCTAAAACTCTAAAGCCTCACCATTTCCAGTTTTAGGACGCTTTGGATCCCCTCAGTTTGGCATCATACAGAAGATATACGCTTGTTTAGGTTTTGCGAATCTCCTTTTCTTGTTCTCATTTCCACAATTCAGAAGAAAGTAAAAGGAATCTAAAGATAAGGAGGAGGGTTGTTGCAGAAAGGCATGAAAAAACAGGTGTTGCTTTAGCAGTGTGCTATTGCACTGAGACTTGTCCTGCCCATATGAAGCTGTATAGGGTAGTGCTGTGTCATGGGGAAATTACTCACTGGGGCCGCAATGTTTTAAGGCCTGAATTCTGCTGTCAGTTCTGCATGGGATGAGCCCTGTATCTGTATAAAACCACGTGGACTTTACGGGATCTGTTCATGAATGTGAAGCTTTGCCCAGGCAGTCAGCTGCAGAATTGTGTCCTTAACACAGGATCAGTTGTAGTTCCATGGCTGTTTATAGTAACTGTAATTTGGGTGCCTATTATGTAGCCGAGACCCTTGTTATTTCACTTCTCCCAACTAAAGCATGAACAGAAGCTCTTTGCTGTACAACATCTGTAAAAATGTACTTCATATTTGTCTAGTAAATTAAGGCATGAGATTTTGGGCTGTGGGTCTCAACAGACTTTGCTCATGTACCTGCCTGAATGTTTTCCTAGATCTGCCGCCATGTCTCAGTATGAAGGTATGGTGGGATTTGTTTACCTGAGTGAATGGAATAGCAGCTCTCATCTGTCCCAACGCAGGTGTCTGCTTGCTACTGGTCGAGATCATGGAAGGATGCATCTTCTGCACTTTCATGTGAAATTGTCTGAAATATGGTGATTAACATGATTATTGGAATACTGTATTTTGTATGACTTAGAATATGTAAATACACTTTTAAAAACAATCTGTTCTATGAAGTAATAAATAAGTGCTTCCATTGTAATATCTGAATATTGTTAATGCTTCATGTAGCTTGATTTGGGAATTTTTTCCTAGAGAACTACAGAAATCAAAACAAAGATTGATGTTGTGGAATTCTAGTCTAGTTGTGATGCTTTCTATCAGCAAAAACGTTTTAAAAAAAAAAAAAAAAGAGCTACACTTAAGCAGAGAAACTGATGATTTGAGGGAACTGATTCTCTTCCACTCTTTCTTTAACAGTAGTCACTGATGTGACATTCATAGTTCTCTTCCTATCCCGTTTGCTGGACAATTAACTTGTTCACCAGCAGCGTCTGGAAAATGGCAATATTAAATGGCTTATAAAGCTTAGTGAAAGCTTAGTGATTGAGGAAAATGAAAGTGGGTTTTATTTATTTATTTTTATTTAAACTGTTCTCTCTTTTGGCTTAAACAGATCTGTCTCCATCCTTCAGCCAGACTGCAGCAAGTTGCAATGAAACAGTGAGTGATTGTTACTGAAGCTCATTTGTAATCTGGGGTGGTCTACGTTTTGATTAGTCCTGTTATGTACATAGATGACGCACAGGTGTCCTCTCTTGGTGTGGAGAGAAAGTGTGATTCATGACTTGAGTTTTTGCTGAGTAAATGTTTGCTGGATGCTGCACAGCTGGAACTTTCATCAGCTTTCATGACCTTTTCTATCTCATATTAAAAGAAAAAAACAGTGGTGAGAATCATGAGCAGTCTGCTAGGAGACATGAACATTTGGTTTTTGAGGAGGAGGTCAGGAGATTGGTCCATCAGCCTTCCATCTAGGGAGATTATCCTGTGGTATACACCTTCTCCAGCCATAACACTTCTTCTTTGTCTTTGATGCTGTACTGCAGCAGTCTCCTCTCTGATATCAGCCGCTTCTGCAGCGTTCCATAAATGACAAAGCTACAGCACCTCTTTGGTAGTGGGCAGAGATGGTGATGCTCCCCCCTCCCCGCTCCTTGGTGTCTCTAGACTATAAAATAGCTATGAAACAGCTAAGCATATGTGCAGGTTACTCAGAAAGTTCTGTTCCTGTAAAGTTTTTTCAGAGACCTTCAGTTTTGAACTACATAGTTTGAAGGAACTCTTATCTGCTATATTTGTCTTGAAATTCTTTTGCCTCTGGGATAAAAATACTTTATTTGGATTCACATGTGACATTGATCTGACCCATTCATTCAATGGGATGGATGATAAATCTGCACAATATTTATATGAAATATACATCTGGTCTTAGTTTTATTGTATGATAAATTGTTTACTCTCTTGGGTGTCTGCACCTTGAGGCTGTTTAAACAATTCCTGTCCATGCAGCTGACTTCTGAAGCAGCCTATAGAGTGCTTTTGAGATCATTCTGACTGAAAGATTCTGTAGAAATGAGGGATAATCATGTTGGTAAAGCAGCTGGGAAGACTGTATTGCCATAAACGATTTCAGTTTATATATAAATCCTTCATCCCAAACAGCGCATTTTGTACATAAACCTACATGCTCCAGGCAGCTGATGGGTGAAAAATAAAGGTGCTTAAACAGCATTCTAATGGGGAAAGGGCATTTCACTGCTGCAGAGTTGGTATTGTTTTATATTTCCATTTCTTACACTTTCTCAAATGTATAAACCATGGATTTGAATTCTCAAAGGCTTCAAAAACAGCTTGGATTTTGTGAGTAGTTTAAATCTTCTCACTTCTCTGCTCGTAACTTCCTTTTTTAACAAAAAAAAAAAAAAGCTTTTGTTTAAAATGTAAAATTTTGACTGTATTAAATCCTGTTAGTACCTTTTCTTTTTAAGAAATAAAATGTATATTCCACTATGCTGAGCTCCAGTAATTTTCTTCTCTAGACAGCATACTGTGTGCTGTACACCTCACTGCCAGCATTATACCTGCAATTTGTATTGAAGTTAGTAGAAATTAAAGCAGCTGGTCACCTTCTAGAGTTAGGCTCTTGCTGTGCATTTCCTGTGTGTTAACTAAGCGCGCAGGTAACAGGTGCACAGTTCCTCGTTTTTACTTTCTGAATCGACTGATTTGAAAAACATTGCAGGCTTTTGCGTTGCTAATGTCCTGTAGTGACTCTAGGTCAAGCTCTTTCAAACGGGGGTGGGGAATCCTGCTAATAGTCAGTGCCAGAAACTCAGCCCTTGCTTTGTCTGTCACTTTGGGGCTGACAGCTGCAAAATAATCAGAATTTAGTTGTCATTCTTTTTTTGGGGAAGAAGCAGAATTTAAAGCACATAAGCTTATAGTGAGGGCAGCTTTCTCCCTCCCTTTTCATCCTTTTTAACCTAGACTTTTTTTAAGAGCTGGTTGGTGAAGATCCCAGGCTAGATCAGCATGGTAAGAAATCTCTCTCATATACTGACTGCCTGAGTTGAAAGGACAGCTTTTCAGAGAAAGAAGTGTTCGCTTTCCTAGACCTCTTGCAATTAAAGGTATTTCAAGCTAGCTGAGATGCATGCTCTCAAAGAAAATAAGATTACTGGTATTTTAGTATAACTAGAAACTACAGTAAAGTAGGGTTTGTTGGTTCGTTGCTTTTGTAGAGGTATCCTGTATGATCAGTGACCGGGGGGGGAGGGGGGGGAAGATAAGAAACTAAGTTCCAAGTAGGAGGAAGAGGAGGAAAAATTGGGTTTCCGATTCTGACGGATAGTGACCCAGGCAATATGTGTACATAAGCTAGAAACCTACCTATTTAGAGGGAGGGCCCTGACCTATACCATGTACTGACAGCAAAGGACATGCCATGGCCAATACAAGGAATTACAGTAGAAACTGAGTGGATATAATGGCCTTAACACTAGAGTCGAAGTGGAGTATACTTGGTATTTGTTTTCAGTATGATGGCAGCAGCATGAATGTCTATTATACAGCTCTTTTTTTTTGTGGGGGGGAGATCATATGTTTTCTTTTGGTGGCGGGGAGGGAGATTATAAATGTGCCAACTATGCTCTCTATACGTTACTAGCTTCCTTAAGGAAATGCAAGTACGTTCTCCTATTTGCAGGCAGTAGTGATCTGAAGAACAACAATGAAAAAATGGCATCATCTGACTCAGTCTCCTTCCTGTCGTGTGTTGGCGGGGGGGGACTCTGCTGACTTCAGGACCTTAAATATATGTGTACGCCTTTTTGCTCCTCTTGTCTCAATCTGCGAAGGGGTGGGGAAAGGATTTGGCATCTACTCAGTTTGTCATTATTTGTAGTACCAACTGGAAATTATTGCTAAGAGATGTGCAAGAGTTGCATTCACGAAGCCTCTCTGGGTGTTTCGGTTTGCTGTTGGTTCTGGTTGTTGGCAGCACATGGCTGTTGAGAAAACATTTTAAGTATCTTATGTTGCTTTCAAATGATACAATTTTCTTACAGTTGGGGAGAGGCTAAATCCATGGGGTGATTACTTTGCAAAAGTGATTTTAAGTTCCACTTGACCCTGAACTCCCCTTCAGCCATGCCATGGTAGCTCTGTGTGACTGTTCAAGAAGCAAGAAGAAATAGAGGCAACTGAGGAGGAGGCTAATATCCCCTCTCCTGATACGCAATGCTGGGTGTGGTGTCTAGGTGTGGGCTGGGTGAATCCAGGAAATATCAGTTAAAGGGCAGCATGGGCCCAACCTTCCTCCCCTGTGAAAGGGGTGACAGAAAAAGCTGACAGGGCAGAAGACAGACACTGGCACTACTCCAGATGTGGCAAGAGGTGAGTTAATGCACCTTTTCCCTCTTGTGCTTGATCACGTTTAAGGTCAAAACTGGCCCTTGAGCGCTTTAATCCTGAACTTTGCCTCCAGCTTGCGAGAGCAGGCTCAGCAACCCAGGCTTGCTTGACCCCTTAGAACATCAAGCCTTTGTGCGAGATCCGTGTGGCAGCGTGGCTGCTGCCTGTGTCAAGTCAGGAGCCCCTTCAACCAGAGGGCCAATAAATTATACGCGTGCATTGCCCCACTGCGAACTCTGCACTGCAGGTATCGATACGTCTTCAGCAGCATCAGGGAAGAACCAGAGCTTGGAGTAGTCAGTCATTCAGGCATCTCCTAGGTAGTTGTCCAAAAAGGCCAGGCCTGAGCCATGTTATAAGGTTGCCTTGGTGTTGCCTTTCCTGGTAGAGATGACAACAGAGCCATGCCATGACCTGAGAGATGAAGACACTCCCAGTATTTGCCTGTAAGAAGCAACCCTGCGGCATGGGGACCCACTTGGATGCCCTGCTGCCTGGGAGAGAAGTGATCAAGGCCCAACATGCCAACAAGGTACCAACTTGCTCCCTCATATTGGGGCTCTGCTGGTAGCGGTCACTGCCCCAGCAGTGGGGCAAAGACAACTTACTGGTCTCTTCCTCCTTCCCAGACCTCCCAAGTGGCTGGGGATCGGACATCTGTGTGGGACACTACTTTGAGGAGCTCTGCTAGAAGGTTAAGCCCTTTGCAGTTGCTACGTCTTTGAGAAAAATTGTTTTGTGTTTACACTGTCACAGCTGAACAGCACAGGAATCCCTTGATCACTTATTCCTATGGCCAGAGGTCCTCAGGTCTTTGAGTCTTTGAGTCCTGGGTGGGGTTTAAAAAAGTCCATGGTCTTTGAGTCCTGGGTGGGGTTTAAAAAAAAAAAAACCACACCACCACAACGAAAAGCTACGGCCTCAGCAACTGGAGGCCCGTTCTCCTGTCAGTGTAGGCGCTGAGCAGCTGCTTGTTTGCTAGCTGCAGCTCAGAGGGGCACGTAGCCCAGAACGGCCCAGACTCACTTGCGTCTTGAGACCTAAGGGTATATGCATGACACGCACGTGGTGTGCTAATGAGGAAGAAGTTTCAAATCCTTTTAGTTTTACTCCCAATTTAATCCTAGCCTCAATACTTATATGCAGCTGCAAAGAAGCATGAGGTTGCTCATAATGATTCATTGCTGTTGGTGTTGAAGAGTTGTGCCTAGAGGCCTGTCTCACTGCCAGGGCCCACTGTGCAGCACACCATCGTGTGCACGTTCGCACCTTCCTTTGCAAGCATGGCACAAAGAAACCCTACCCACCAAAAACGCCCTTGTCTCACTGAGTTAATATCTCATAGGGGTTTAGCCCTGCTTCCTGTGAAAGCAGGCCCAGGGCTACTGGGGAAGAGGGTCCCTGCACACATTCCCACAGTAGTCTAGGTCGTAGGGTGAACACAAAAAGGTTTCGGTGGAGACATTTATCTATCTGTGCACGTATCTACATGAACGCACTTTTCCTGTCTGTGCTAAATTTTAATTGACCTTAGTTAGTGACTGCAGAAGCATTACTTACTCACCTCTAACAGGAAAGTGGAAGCTTGTGTGCAGCCTCATGGCTGCCACAGCAAGAAATTTAACTCAGGTGCTGCTGCCTGCCTGTCAGTGCCTGCATGGTGTGACCTGAATTGACTCTAGCAGAAGGCAGCAGCAACGCTGAAACAGGAAGAACCGCGTCCCCGGACAAGCAGAGCGTCCTGGCGCGCAACCGGCGCCTGAGCTCAGCCAGCATGCGTGAAGCCCCCGCAGGGCCGAGGCCCGGCAGGCTCCGCGCTGCTTTTTATCCCGAGCAGGCTGTCAGAGCCCTGGCGACGAGCGTCCGCCCCGCCTGGCTCCCCGCTTCCCCTCGCAGGAGGGGAGCGGACCGAAGGCACAAAGTCACTTCGAGGCGTAGAGCCACAGCCCCAAATGGCGGCGGAGAGCCAGGACGCCGAGGCGTCCC